ATATGTAGTAAACAATGCTGAATTGGATTATTAAGGCCGTGTTATCGGCTAACGGAACCACCAAGCTGAAAGTGACGCCCGCAGCGAGTGGCAAGTGCGGTGTCAGCATACATGTTAGTGGAAAGATCGAGTCAGAATGCGTATCAATACGATGAGTAACCTATGCATAACCGATGATTGTTTTGGTTGTTTGTTCCGTTTCGAATTATAGTCTTGTGCGGATGCATCCTCTTCCTCTATTCACGAATTGAATGTTGGAATGTGTGCCACGCAACAGGCACACATGTAACGAAGCGACCCTGTTACATGGTATCGTCATTTGAAAGAAATGACAATCAAGAGTTTGATGATGAATATTCGATGAACGATGTCGCTATCTCCAGTGGGGTTGCTGCAGTTACCCAAGGGTCGACTCATTTTTTGAATAGGCTATTGCAATAACCCACTAGACCCTGCTTGACGCTTGCAATAAGTGGTGGTCAAACGTCACCATCCATAATTTTATATTGTCATACTTTAGCGCGAAATAATCAGTGGTAGATCAAGACTCGTTTTGCGATATTCCCTTCCTTTGCGTCCGTGTACACCGTTCAAGAGCATAGTAGCTATATTTATGTCAGTGAGAGTCAGCTGCCTTTTGAAGTCAGTAAGTAGTTAGCATTGCCCGTTCAGAGACGTATTTACTCTGTGATCAACTAGGTATCTTACGATGTGTCAATACTAGTATGAAGACACTTTTGTTGACACATCGTGGTCCACTCAGCAACCATGGACACATCTGTTCAGGAGCCTCCCGATCTGCGATTGTGCACCCAGCGCATGTAACTACGTTTATACAAGTGATCCTCATTGACAGCCAGTTCAATAAGTGCCTGAGTTTGTCATTGATGCCTCTGTCGAATTCATACTTATTATATTTGGAAGAAATGATTAACATGTAGCCGTCAAAAAAATGATCGATCATGAGCTTGACGTAGCGAGTGAAAAGCAATTTGCAAAAGCAGCAAGGTGACAACAATCGTGGTGTCCTGCGGGATACATGTTCCAAAAAGCTGACTCGTTGATACAATACAAGTCTGATTGATCAAAAATTGACTGGACAGCAGCTAGTAGATGCTTTTGGGGTCAACGGCTCACTACAACCAATGTTGGAGAATGGGAAATTGCATAAATAGAAGAATAGGGGGCAATTAGCGAGCATGAAGGTGTATTAATATTAACGACAGCATAAAGGCTCGTTAGATCGATTATTTGACACCATTAGGAACCCGTGCCCGTCGCGTCTAATTTGGAGCTTATCCTGAGATCGATGTAGAATCATGTTGGCCATAATCCACATACTTACGCCCAGCCCACTTCATAGTCGCGAGCTATTGCGCTTGTACAAAATCTATAGTATCTCAGTGCTGGAGAAAGACTTAATCTCAAAGAGTCACTTTGTATAGAAGCTTTTACTACGACCCAAATGGTTATATAGCCATATGTACGCATAGAATATGTGATTCATGGCTTGAAAGTTGTCGCAACGTCTCGGCAGATTATCGAAATGCAAAGACGCGTGGGTTATATCAATGACGCAAACCCTCTCCTGAATAAGCGCCTTTGATATACGGCGCAGGTATCGTAACGAGCATTGCTATCAGCGCGCATTCTATCTGTGCTGCACCTACTAAGGCTGAGCCAGACCTCATCATGGCATACAAACATATTGCAAAAGCATGTGTCAATACGTGCTCTAGTTGACTGTGGTGCGTCTACAACTATATCTGACGCCTTTTACTAGATTATTGGAATAACACGTTTGATGAGCGCAAAACTTGCCAAATGGCGGTGTTCCTTGCGATATGCGCAATCGTAATAGTGAAATTAGTTGCATAAAAGATATGTACGTTAATTACTCGACACTACGATGAGCTTATATCGTATTCGACCTGAATGACAAACTTTATGTCTCCTAATAATTGCGATGGAGTGGAACCCATACATTTGTCGACGCGATATTAACTCTCTACTGGTGCTCAGACGACCAATTGTTGAAGGGGATATCCGTCCCTAGTGTATAGCCTAAATCACCTTGTGTATTCGTCGGCAAGTCAGCCACATTTCTCGGTGAGCTCCAGCCGACATTGGACTTGACGCGTTTGAGATTGGATGGGAGTCGATCGTGCGTTTATCGTTCCTCGATCGGTTCGGTTCTGGGGAATCTGTATATTTCAAACGATTAAGGGGTCAGTCTTGAGGGGTACGAGAAAATGACCCAAAATTATTGCGAGGTCAATGAATTCCTGCCTTATGAAATTTTGACACGTACCTTGAACACTGAATCGAACACTTTTGAATGTTAATTAACGAAAACCTTCAATGTTTCACGATGTGTATATTGTACTTCCAGTTTTGCTACCGATTGTCACCTATATATTAAGATCGTCACCTTGTACTTTGAGGACCACCTTAAGCTAGCTCCCACATGTATATGTGTTGAATGACGAATCGTGGTTCGCATATTTTACATCACGGATTGCGAAGGGCGGTAAGGTATACACACCGGGGTGACTAGCGACCACATTATCAATCGTGATTGGACTTCATCACTGAACGTACGACTAATGATATTCACATTATTCTTGACATGATGTGTCCAATCTTGACATTTTTCATCCTTGTGGCCATCCAGCAATTGCATACATTAGGTGTGTAACCAAACATTATGTAAAAGTCCTAGTATACAGATTGATTATTTATTGCAGGTCGCGTAGATAACGGGTCGCAACCGCAACCTCAGGTCGCATATTTTTTATGCCTTTATCTGCCTATGATTTCGCATCGTCCAGAGTAAAATCACCCTATTTTGTCACTCGTCGCATGCAACTGGATGGTCGCAATTGTCGGTTGTGACGAACGAATCAATGTCGATTCGCACTCAGTCTGACACACGATTCGCTCTTTATTGTGCTCGATTTGAAGCTTGACACACATATATGTGGCTTACATATGTTGAGTCGTTTAGATTATAAGCTTGTTAGATTTTAGCCATATGCGAAGTTACTTTATTCATATATTGTGTGCACAATCTATTCTGCCAGTCTACGCCTACTGAACTCTTCTGACTGTACGATTGCACTCGCTATGTGAGCAGTAATAAAACTATAATCGCGTATCTGCAATCGGCACATCGCGCATTACTAATTTTCTAATCTCGCATAAGTAATTTACGCATCGCACATTGCCCGCGTCTAATTGCGTGATGGGAATTTCCACGTCTTTAATTTGCATGTTAAGTATTTGTGAGTCACTGAATCGTTTACATATTTTCGAAGGTCACCGCTTTAACGCCGACGATCTTCTTCATCAACATAGGTATGAAGCTAACAGCACCGAGTATGAACATCTCTCTCGCATTTTGTCGAATGGCGATCTTATAAAATTCCATAAGGATAACAAATTTGCTAAAAGTATGTTAGTAAGGGATAAATTCGCTATAGATGAAGCGCAATTAGGCGTAAGTACCGGGAATGAAGCTTCGAAGGATGTGCAGAATCAATAGACATGATAAAAGACCACCTATCAAATGGAGTTTATGAGGTTTAGCAAGTGACCTCAGCCAGAGGTCAGTATTCACCGTAAAAAAAGCAAACATGGCTTAACCTGGAGTTGCAACACCGTGATCCTTAATCGAAAAAATATTCGATTGTAACGTTAATCGCTATGCTTATACAAAAACAGGTTTTGCATGATGTATAAGATCGAATACAAATAAGGTTGGTCTAGGCAGCTACCGACCAGTACATGAGGAAGCTGTTCAACTTTGTCGATGCTGCCCTCATCCACATACTCGTTACAATCGACCGCTATCTACAGATGATAGCGGAGGCGGTAGCACTGGTTCAGTGCCGAGATGATGGTGGCGTCCTTCGGCTGGATCTTGCCGTCGATGTCGCATGAAAAGATCAGCCTGACATTGGCAACCCGTATACTGTATGTGACATGCGATGGAGCAATGTGACACTGTCAACATACTGCATACCCAGAGCTTCCTTCAATGAATGATTAAATTACACGAAATAGAATAGAGGATGCGTCGACGCCTTGTGACACGTGCCAGATTGGGTAGGAGCCCGCAAGCAAAAAATCTTGTCTGCAGAAAGCACTTTTTCCGCAATGTGAATACTGACAACTTAATGAAACCGGTTTTGTTTGTTTTCTTTTCGAACTAATAGGGATCATTTACTTTGTTCGCTTTGGGCCCTTTAGCAGCTAAGCAAGTTTTACCTCTGGGTGTTACCTTAGAACAAAATAGTAGTTTCTACTCTCCGCTTGATTTTAGAAATGCGTCCACCAATCTCGTTCGTTATGAGCTTCACAAATTGCTCATGCATATCTCGTCGATATTACCAGGACGTGATGCAGATTCATTTTGAGAGCACACATCATACAGACTTTCTTGACTGCACAGGCGAGAGGTCTTGTGAAGGATGAGCTCTACGCAGGTTCATTTACGAAAAGTCCGTGTTTGCATATGGAATGATCAGCTTCCGTGTGCGATCGCTCATCGTTGCAACAATTTGGATCCCATTCGAGCTATCGAGGCCTCAATCGATAGAGAGTGTACCAACGCGCGAGCCGGGTCTTGCGACAGTGAACACAATACGTCGAACGAACACTTTACCGTCCTTTGCTCGCACGCTTGAGGCGTGTTGCGGCTCGATCCGATCAGTTGGTCGTATTGTACCAGCTGATCACTACGAGCTCTCGAAAGCGGGGCGACGAGACGTACTTGCGGTAGCAAATGATCCAGTGGCTGGTCATAACGTACACCAGCACTCGAACTCGACGCTGTCGGAATAGACAAATTAGCCTCTTTTGCAAGCAGTAAAATGAATAAATAAAAACGTTCCGTACGAAATTAATTGAGGCGTTCAGCGCCTGTGTTTTCAGGCGGAAAACCAGGACATCATCGTCCGAGCTACTCATTGTGTCACTCATTGTCGACACTCGAGAGCATGACGACAGAAGCGCACGCGAGTCACGGAGCGCGGTGGACGACGGCCTTTGGACTGCAGGGAGACGTGCTCACTGCACAGCGGGAGCGCTACGAGAGACTGAAGCAGCACTTGGCGTTTCAGGTCGACGCAACGAAGCTCGCCGATCCGGCGACTACCGCTCAGGACATCGCCAGCTCTTCCGGTACTTGCAGTCACATTTTGAACGACGACGACACGCTGCTCGAGGAGATCCAGAAGGACTTGGATCGATTGCACCCATCTGGAAACGAGCGCTTCTTTCAGAACGCAGTGTTCATGAGTACGCTGCGCAACGTGCTCTTGGTCTGGTGTCGGCTGCATCCCGACGTGGCCTATCGTCAAGGGATGCATGACGTGGTGGCTGTCGTGCTATACGCGTTGGTGCAGAATGAGGAGGCAGATGGATCGAGGCAGTCAAACGAGGAGACGCTGCCGGAAGGTGTTGAAGCTGACACGTTCTTGCTCTTCGAGGCCGTGATGCTGTTCGTAAAGCCGTTCTTTGAGCTTGTTGAGACGAGCCATGAAGCGGTGTATCGAGGTCCAGGTGGAACGTATGGACGGAGACTCTTTGCGAGCTTTTCGCTGAGGAAGAATGGCAGTGGAGCTGGTTCGACCACAGTGCAGTCGTCAGAAACTGCAGATAGAAAGCACGAACAGCCGGTACTGCACCGATTGTGTCATCACATTCAGTACGAAATGCTGCAACAGAAGGACCCGCAGTTGTACTACCACTTGAAGAACTTGGATATCATTCCCGAGACATATTGTTTGCGATGGATTCGCTTGCTCTTTACTCGAGAGTATGCGCTAGAAGAACTTTTGTACATCTGGGACGCTTTGATCCTGGACAAGAAACGAGCGGCGATTGAGTATCCCGTGATCAACATGACCAACAAGTCGGACAACGATCTATTGCAGCTGCCTCGACTGTTAATGGAAAGCGAGGAATCGACGTGGACTGGTTTCCCGCTGCTGCGTTATATTTGTGTAGCCAGATTGCTCCAAATGTCGACACAGCTGCGCCAGTCAGACAACACTGACTGCTTGCGTCTCCTTATGCATGCGTACCAAGATGAAGATAGTGATAGCTCTGACTCGGAGCGACAAAATCGGGCTGCAGCATTCACGCGGTTTGCCAAGATATTGCAAGACCCGATGACTGAGGAAACGGAAGAAATGGGTATCGGCATTGATGCAAATGAACCAAAACAGAGCGCAAGTCCTGCAGCAGGATCCAATGTCGTGAAAGTTGTCTCGTTTCGAGAAGGTTTGCTCGGCCTCGTCTTGACAGCAGCAGGTGCGCCGTACGAGAAGCGACTGGCGGTGAAAGCTTTTATGAGAGATCCGACCGCAAGCAGTGGGGTAGGACAAGCCGAAGCTAGTCGGAAAGTTTGCCCAGGCGACCTTCTGCAATCGATCAATGGTGTACCGATTGTTGGAGTGACAACGGAGGAAGTAAAGCGCCACCTCCAGCTCCTTGATCGCCCATTCTACATTGCTTTCCGTCGTTGCACTGATGCCATCGGCGAAGATGCTGGCAGTACCTGGGGGAACACCAACACAGCTGAATCTCCCGATGCCCCAAGCTCTTTGACAGAGTCGGATACAGCATCGTCCGAAGTGAAGCAACCTCCATTCTTGCCTGGTGAATTATGCTACGCCAACGCCAACGCGAGTATGCAACGACTCCTCTTGTCTCACGATGGATCATGCCAATCACACTACATCAGCGGGAAGCTGTTTATCACAAACTACCGCTGTTTGTTCACGCATTTGCTTGGTGATGGAGAAATTAAATGGCAAGTTCCCGTGCTTTCCATCGCCTCGATTGATCGCATCGACTCGAAGGCAGGCTCAACAGGGGCAACTTCCAGCAGTCTCCTAGTGGAAAATGCCCAAGCTGCTCTCGGTTTCACCCCTGATGTCTCGTCCAAGGTCGTGATCCGCTGCAAGGATACTCAGGTGGCGCGACTGTCGATTGCAGACCACAGCGAATATAAAATGCTTGTCAAGTGTCTAAGCTTCCTGGCTTTTCCGAAGAGCCTGTTAGATGCCTTTTGCTTCGCCTATTCTCCGACTGTGCCGCCTTCCGACAAAGCTCAATTTGATATTCGCCAGGAGTATAAGCGTATCGGACTGCTGTCAATTCCAGATCATCTACGTTGCATCGACCAATCTTCGGGATACGCACTCTGCAGCACGTACCCGCGGTATCTAATCGTGCCTGCTGGCATTGCAGACGTTCGTCTAAAGGCAGCAGCAGCATTCCGGTCACACCAGCGATTGCCTGTGGTAAGCTGGATCCACCGCAGCAACGGAGCCACGATTGTTCGCTCCAGCCAACCGCTTGTGGGCTTGAAATCTGCGCGCAGCGATGAAGACGAGCTCCTTGTTTGCCTTTTGTGCAGCTCGAGCAACAAGCAGGCGCTCGGACGTTATGTGATCATGGATGCACGCAGTCAACTGGCTGCCGTGGGCAACAAGGCGCTCGGTAAAGGCACTGAGGTCTCGAGCAACTACCCTGGCGCAAAGCTCATTTTTATGAACATTGACAACATCCACTCGGTCCGGCAATCTCAAGCCGCAATTGCAGCAGTCTTTGAGTCGAAGAAGAGTGCAAACGAGGATACATCCAGTAGCTTTTACGGGCGTGTTGACGCTTCAGGTTGGCTACGCCATGTCCGCCTCGTGCTGAAGGCATCGGTTGATCTCGCACACACCGTGCACAATGGCACGTCTGTGCTGACACACTGCAGTGACGGGTGGGACCGCACGGCGCAGATGGTAGCATTGGCTGAGTTGATGCTTGATCCATATTACCGCACGCTCCGTGGTTTGCAGGTACTAGTCGAGAAGAAATCGGTAGTCCAGATGGAGCCTTGGATGCTAGTGAGCTGACGGGATGTAACTTTGATGCAACTAGGTGCTCGTGGAGAAGGAGTGGTGTTCTTTCGGACATCAATTTGCCTTGAGGAGCGGCCATGCTCGCAGCGACGCGTCGAATGACCAGCGTTCGCCCGTGTTTTTGCTCTGGCTGGACTGTGTGTGGCAATATCTTCGCCAGTATCCGACCGAGTGCGAGTTCAACGAGAGTTTTCTGCTCACTCTTGCCGACCACGTCTACTCGTGCAAATTTGGCACGTTCATGTTTGATTGCGAACGGCAACGGTACGTCTCGAGTGGCACGCTTTGCCCTCCGACTTGAGAGCGTATCCTTAACCGTGCGCGTGCGTGTATCTTGTTGGGACATGCAGAAACGATTTTTTTGCCAAGCACCGGGTGTTTTCCATCTGGAGCGAAGTCAACAGCCACAGCGATCGCTTCGTGAATCCCATGTACGCGCCCAGCGAGCACGTGACGTTGTTGTCGCCTAGTACGCTTTCCAAGAACATCAAGTGCGTGATCCATGCTCGTACTGAACGGAGCACTCTTTTTTGGTTATGGAGCTGCTCGAAGACTAACTTTGTGTTGTCAACGCGATGGCGTGTATGTGTGTATGACTACTCCATTACTACTACTACAACTACAACTACAACTGTTGCTGCTGTACAGACTCTGGAAGGGCTACTTTTGCCGCTGGGACCCCACCATCATCCCTCCCGTGCCGTCTTTTCAGTATTACTGACGTTGCTGCATAATCCATGTACGGATGAACCAACATGTAGCCATGTCTCGTCCTGTCCAGCTCGTCGACCTCTTTTGTGCTTTGAAAACGAATACTTTTGTCGGATCGCACGACGACATCGTAGCTCGTGGCTGCAGGTGAGACTTTGGTGGTACACATGACACGACTGCCTCTGCCAGCTCTGCTAGCGGCGCTGGCCACCCCGTGGGTCCTCCTGCTCGCTCTTCTTGGCTGGACGTTCGTGCGCGGACTCACGTGCTCACTCCCTCGTGCTGCTCGCTCGTTGAAAGCGGCGGACCGCCTTCGAGTGGGCTTTTTGCATCCAGATTTCGGGATCGGCGGTGCTGAGAACCTCGTGGTGAACGCAGCGGTCGCACTACAGCAGCGCGGAGCTCGAGTGACCGTATTTACGGCCCATCACGATGTCACCCATTGCTTTGAAGAGACGCGGGGGGACGGACCATTGGCCGCACACGTACGTGTTCACGGTGACTGGCTGCCACGCGCGATAGGGGGCAAGCTCTATGCGTTCTGTGCAGTGCTCCGCGTGCTGTTTGTCACGCTTTGTGTCGCAGTGTACGACCGACACGACCTCGACGTGTTTGTCGTCGACCAAGTGTCGATCGCTGTTCCCTTCCTGCGTGCCATGGGCAAGCCCGTGCTTTTCTATGGCCACTTCCCGGATAAGCTTTTGTGCATCCGGTCCAACTCGATCTGGAAGCGTCTTTACCGTCTACCGCTCGACTTCTTGGAGGAGATCACGACTGCATCATCGGACATTATCGTGGCAAACAGCAAGTTCTCGCGGGGCGTGTTCCGAGAGGTTTTCCCGCATCTGCGATCAAAGAAGCTGGGGATTCTATACCCACCGGTAGATGTCAAGGCTTACACTACTGCAACTGATGCGCGCGTGGAACGAGACTCAGGTCTGTTTGTGTCGCTGAACCGTTTTGAGCGGAAAAAGAACGTGGCGCTGGCGATCGAGGCACTCGTGGAGCTACGCGAGACCCTTCCCAGTGAGGAGTTTCAGCAGGTCAAGCTGATTGTGGCCGGCGGGTATGATCCGCTAAACACGGAAAACAAAGAGCATCTGATTGAGCTTCAAGACGTGGTGGCCGAGCACGCCCTAGAGAAGCATGTGGAGTTCCGCACGTCCGTCTCAAACGCCATGAAGCTCGAGCTGCTGTGCAAGGCTTGCGCTATTCTGTACACGCCCGATCGCGAGCACTTTGGTATCGTTCCCGTCGAGGCCATGGCATGCGGGACTCCCGTCGTTGCAGTGAGCTCTGGTGGTCCATTGGAGTCCATCGCGGACGGTGAAACCGGGTTCTTGTGCGAGCAGAAGCCGCGGGCATTTGCGAAAGCTATGGCAAAGCTTTGTGGCCACAAACACAGCACTCGAGTGGGCGAGATGGGGGCCAACGGTCGACAACGTGCTCTCAAGTGTTTCTCACTCGAGACTTTTGGCGACACTCTGCTTGGGCTGGTAGACCAGGCGGTGTATGGTGAGAAGGTGGCATAGACATGCTCGGGTCTACGCATCGTTTGACTAATGTTTGATCCCAATAAGTTATGACGTGTGTGTTTGCCTTCGCTAACGCTTTTGCCAATGTAACGATGCGAGACTGACGGACTGGAAGGTGAACGATGCCTTGATAAGCACGTTGGAAGGTGTACATCTTGTCACCAGCCTCCGCAAAACAGCCCTTTACAAAAGAGGGCTAAGCCAGACACCTCTCGATGACGCCGCTTGCGAGATCGCTTGGAGCAACTCGAAGACGATGCAAGGGACGATTGGTTGTCACCTTCGCGACACTGCGTCACGTACTTCTGCAGCATCGGTGCGTTCTCGTAGTAGTGTCGTGAGTCAAAGTGTGTAGGTCTCACACGATCACGGCTCATCAGCTCTTGTACGGGCAGCGTGCCAGAGTCAGCATGCCGGGACTTTGGGTTCACCGCTGGGAGCTTGAGATAGCGACAAATCGGGTTGCATCGATGCGATGAGAGGAACTTCTGGAACCCCAACACCCCGAGGTTACCTTTCCCAAAGTCGTGCCCGTTCAGCGTATGGATCTGTGGGTCCGTGTACAAATCTCCTACGCCTTGAATGTCCACAGCAAGCAGCTCATGATTCGAGGCTTCATACGTGAAGTGCGAAAACGCCTGTGGTGTGTTGCGCTCGTCATCGCTCACGGATCCAAAGTTGTTATTGTGTTTGCGGTACTCGCCTGGAATGTAGGCCTCCACAGCGCACAATGCACCATTTCGCTCAGGCAGTTCCAACACCCACGCGGAAATGAACTCGACGCGCTTTGGCGGTGTGTACGAATTGTACACTTGCGCGTAGTGTGCACAGTGGGCCTGCAGCTCAATGTCCTTAAAGTACGTCTGCGGGTCTTCGTCCGGATCGATGGCCAGTTTAGCCACGTAGCTGCCCGTATGTTGACTGCCCGTGAGCGAGCTACTGGAGCTCGTGAAGCTCAGGTCTTGCAAGTGGTACACAATTCGCAAACTGCCTTTGCAAAACGGCGTCTCATCCAGGTGAATGAGCACTTGGGTGCTGTTCCACTGGCGCGTGGCATAGTCAAAGACGTGCTTGATAGCCACCTCCGGACTGGCATTCCGAAAATCAGGAGCGTGCGGCACAATGAGCGGCAACCCTGTGCAGCATACAAACAACAGACCACTCAGTCCTTCCGTCTCGTTCCACCCATCCCTTCGTTTTTTTCCTCCTCCCTGAGCTCTTAGCTCTCAGCCCGGGGCAGTAGTAGCTACCGAGCAATCGACCAGCACCAGCGTAGCCAGCTGCGAGTTTAGCGGCGCACCTTCCAGTCGTCGAAACGACATTCGTCGCCTCTGCGTGACCGTTTGCTGTGTTACACTGGACGCAGGCGCGAGCGTCGAGAAGGTGAGTTCGTCCATGATCGCCTCTTTCCGTCTACAGACAGCATCGACACAGCACAGGTCCCCTCGTGAACATTAAGAGTCTTCTGTCGTCGCATCGCGTCCGACGCACTGCACAGCAGCAGCAGCAGCAGCAGCAACAGCAGCAACAGCAACACAAAAACACACACGCACTCACGGACCGCTCGTACTCGTCCTCGGTAATGTACCCCTCGGTCCAGAGCGCTCGGAGCGTCGAGACGCGCGACAAGATGTTGTCCTGCAAGTTGCCTGCGATCGCCCGCGTACGCATTGGCTCCGAGGAGCCCACGCTCCAGACATAACTGTCGCTCGCGTCGTCTGCTCGCGGCTCGTCGGCCTCGTGGTACAGCAACTGCGCGCGGCGCTTCTCCGTGGGCGTCGCAGCTGACACTGTGTAGTAGAACCACCGGCTGCTGTCCTTGACCCGCACTTCCGCTGCCTGTTGACTCCCGCAGGACGCACAACGTGACGGCGGCGACGTCGTTGTCATGGCGGGACGGGTGGACGTCCAGGACGGCAGCGACTGCCACTGGTTGCAATGTCGGCACTTGATGAGAAAACCTAAAGGTGGTAGAGATGCTATTGGACGGACGGACGGACAAGAGCATGTACTGATTGATGATACGATGGAGGAGACTCGGCTATGTGCGACGGAGTTGAGTGGATCTGACCCGAAGTTTGCACACGTGAAGCGGAGAGCATTTCTCTACTCGGAGGTATCGAACAACTGTCAAAGAGGTGCGGGGGTGGGATCCGGCAGGAGCAATGACGACGACGTACGTGCCAGTTGTTGGTGCGAAAACTAGCGCTCAAAGCTGTTTTCTCTAAATTCTACCACACATGCATACACACATGCAGGCCTCAGTCCTTTTTCGTAGAAGCTGCTCGCCGCTAAGTTTTGAGCTCGGCGGGGTTTCGTACTGGACGTCGACCGAGCTCGTGCTATGGCCGCGCGCTACGTTGGAAGTTACAGGCAGAATGAGCAAAGTAGTCTGCAATCAGTGAGTGTTTGCAGAATCTGGTTGGCTGCACCTTGACAAAAAGCGACCATAGATGTCCCGTATTGGTCGACGGGTACAAGTACACCACAGGATCGAAACAATCATGTCGACCACGGATGTGAACTGCATACACACGAAGTGCACGTGCCTGTCTGCACTCATTGCCGACTTTGACTACTATCGTTGCTCTCGTCAACTGGGTCGTTCGCCGTGTCGAAAGCTAGAGCAGGACGTTATCAAATGTCCCACCTTTGCAACTGAACAACTTGATCAATCGACTGCGGCAGTTAAAGTCCACTCGGCTGCTCTGCGTGAACGAATCGCAAGCTGGTGCGAAGGGATCGAGTGTTCATATACTGCCATACAAGGACATTTTCCAAAGCGTCTGACGGAGAGAAATGGCAAGCCTGTAAACATTTGACGTTTTCTTGGCTTCCTCCGCCTTTGTTGCGAGCCCAAGAACAACGACACAGAACGGCAACAAAGGCCTTGCAAGCTATGATGAAACACGAAAACGATCCTTGCCTGGCCTTTGTTTGTTCTCGTTGATCAGCTTGGAGAAACGGCAAGGGCGAAAGTGGATGGCAACGCGTGGCGATTAGGTCGATATCGGTTAGGCTTGTGATCATAGCAATGGCTACATAGTGCATCAAGCCTGGAAATGGTATCGAAGCCTGACGCGGCAACTTGTACGATGCTGAGAGGAACGATCTCAACGGTTGCAAGAAAAGGCCTGACTGCCGAGGCCGTGTAGAGACTATGAGTAGGTCACTTGTTGGGACATTTTCTGTGCCAGTGCGCTCTGAACTAGGTTTTGCTACTCGATCGGAGAAGTGACCGTCCAGTCGACACGACACGCTTGAGTGAGTGCCTGTGCAAGGAGACAAGTCCACAGTATACCCTCCTGGAGGCAAAAGTCTGGCAGACCGGTATCAGGACGATGTGGGCGGGACCGACGAGTCTGTATGGAGTATCATTGGGCACGTCTTTTGCAACATGTGTTGAGCAAGAACATAGATCAACAGACATACCTCGTGATTATTGACTCGAAATTCGCTTTCGCATCGTGATTGACCGGACATGCCGCATAGTATGTTGACTAGCGTTTGTGCAGCATTCACGGCGTCGTCAATAACGCGTCGCAGAAGACCCGTTTGTTGTGGCAGTGACGCTTGCTTGTCGAACATTCTTGTAGATCGAGTAGTCAGCATATACGTAGGATCGACCTGTATTGCAATCCTTTGCGACGCTTGATTTCTCTTTATCGTTATGCGAGCCAGCACAAAATATCGACAAGGGCACAATTCGCAACGATTCCAGATGTGTGTGCATGTGTGCGTATATTGCGTATGCACCCTTGCAACATTGCTTATGTGTCGGTCTTACGGTATTTTCTTGTTTTGCTTTACACGGTACATTTCTTTGCTTATGATTCTTCTGATTGGCATGTTAAGAATTATCTTATTGTTTTTTCTCACTCACTTCAGCAACAGGCGCATGGCACGATATCGTCATTGATCATATCGTCTTTTATCATATGTTTCATCAACAAACCAAAGTACAACGACATGTAAATTAACTGCTGAGCTCTTTTGCGAACATCGGCTGCGAAGAAGTCCACAGGGTGCTCAGTCACTTTCTTCGATTTACACCACAGCAGACATTACGTTTAGAGTTGATGCAAGCGAAGGTTTTTGCTTTTTTTGCTGGGTCCGAAAAATGGCGACGAGTGCCAGGTTTCCAATACATCCACGTTTTCTCGTCTTCCTCTTCATTTCTATTTCTTTCGGTGTCACGACTTCTGTATGCTTTGCTGGATGTTTTTTCTCTCTTCAATGTGTGATGTAGAAGCCATGAACTCGACACGTGTTCTGGAGACACGCTCTACCACTGGTAGGGAGGACAAACCCTACTGATTGAAGACGAATAAAAGGAAAACGACCATTTACCTCAGCTTGTTAGTCTGCAAGGAAGACACGCTGTCGCTCGAGTTGATAGAGCTCGTCAACGCTCGGCAACATTGCAAAAGCGTCCAAGCTGACGCGGTATCGTGTAAGGGCTGTAAAAATCAGTTTGTCCATCTTTCGTGCTGTCCCTCCAAACAGAACCGCGTACATCCAAACGGCGGTCCAGAATCGAAGCAGTGTTTTTTTGCGCAGGATCCCGACTTCATCGCAGATCGGTCAAAGCCAAATGCTTGGTGCTTACTTAGTCATGAGGTATCAGCCTGATGGCATGTGGTTTCGTGAAACAAAAGGGTGCGGGATGATCATTGGAAAACGAGTGGCGATACAAGACCCGTAGACGATATGACGAGCGTTTCGCTGGCTACAACAGAATGACACGCTTAGCTAGAACAGCAAAGTCAGCAACATCGTGAGAGCCGCTGTGACGTGGACAGCAGTACTTCCGGTGCTGTAAGTGTAGTCCAATATACCATGGAAAAGACCCGACCTTCAGCGCACATACATGTGGCGCCCGAGTTGCGACAGATCGGGATACGACGCAGTGGCACCGCGCGTGATCTGGACTGAACTGCCGAACGGGTCGGATGCACAAAGTCGACATGAGCGTCACATTTCACGAGATCAATAGTCTGCCATGACTAGTTCGAAAATCAGAGCTAGCTACAAGCTACCATGCCATTCAAGCTGTCGACTGATGTTGTCGCAAACGCTTCACATCAAGGAGATCCACGCACCATCCAGTGACCTCATGCTGTAGCTAGGTCGGAGCTGGAGATTGTAACTCTATATGCAAGACTACTTGCTCGCGCTTGTGGATGAGCCTAACCAGATACGGCAGTCTCGTACACTTGCAACAGCGCGTCGTCGCCACCCGAAACTAATCGCGAACCGGATGAGTTGTACGCGACGCTCCACACCTACCAAAGCACAGTGTCGGTATGGTCCACTTAGCAAAAGGGTCTCTCATCAATGCACAGAGTGACATGCTACTTCGTACCTGATCTGTGTGCGTCTCGAAAGTGGTCAAACAGCGCCTTGTGCCAACGTCCCAAATCTTTACACGTCGATCCGCGCCGCTGTTGGCAAGACGAGCAATTAGATATCGATCAGTGGTGTCCAAAAGCGCGTGTAGTCTTCGCCAGCAACGTACCCAGTGGCAAACTGTCTACCATCGGGCGAGCACGCCACACTCAGCACCCATGAGACATGGCCAGATAGAGTAGCAACAGCATTGTCATGCGCACTAGAAAGAAGTAAGTACAATCGTTCGGCTACTATCCCGACTCAATGACCAAGGACAAACAAACTTCCCACACGTACACGTCGTAGACGTTGACGTGCATGTCATCGGAAGCCACGAACAGTTTTCCATCCGGCGAGTATGCGACCGAGCGCACCGGCTTTGTGCGGTCTACAAGTATTGGTGCGTAAGCTTGGTGCTTCAGTCGATCCCATTTTGCTACGTACCTTCGTACTTGTGAACCAATGATCCAGTCTCAACGTCATACACGCCGACGAAACCGTCAAAGCCTCCGCACGCAACATGCTTCCCGTCTGGAGACTGCACCATCATCACCACACGTTTGTAAACGACATAAGTGGTCATCGCTGATATCCACTATAGCCAAGAAACAGCTCGTACATAAGCAACACTCAGCACAAACTTGGCTTGCGTCGGTACCGCCTGTGCAATTTTTCCAGTCTCAATGTCAAAAAAGTTGATCTTGCCCTGCTGGCTGCCGGATACGAGCTTGGTCTCGTCAGGGCTGTAGGCAACTTGCCAGAGCTCCCCTGGTCCGGCGTCAATCGTTTTCTCAATAGCACCGGACGAGAGATTCAGTACGCGGATCTGGCAGTCCAGCGAGCTTGTTACGGCGCGTGTGCCCGCCTTATTGCCCACAATCGAGATCGTACCCAGCACGTGGCCTGGATACTGCTGCGAAATGGACACGGCATGCTCTGTCACGTCCCTACAGCAGCAAGAAGAACAACGAGCAGCAGCACAGGAGTCAGCACCACTAGTCCTTCACTAAGTATACACGAATGACGCAGATAGATGGACGTACCAGGCTTTGGCGACTTCGTCGACCGATCCCGTCAAAATCTTGTCATTCGACGTCCAGAACGTGGACCAGATGCCGTCGCTATGCGCGCTGGGGAACTGGATCGACGCCCGATACTGAGGCACAAGTGGCCACCACGACAGACAGTGTGTGTGAGCAGCAGGTTGTTGCACAGAGCGAGAGAGAGACGTACGTTTGCTCGTGCGGCCATTTTGACGGACGCTACCGTTTCAGTATTCGTACCCACGGGCTTCTTATACAAGAGTGCGCGTAAACTTAGCCAGAAACAAATCCACGGGACGAAGTTTATCAGATACACAATGCTGCGGCGGTCGCTGTCGATGCTCAGCGCCTACAGCTGGAAGGACGTGCCGTACGTCACGGAAGCTCCGCACGCATTGCAGGCGCTCGATATTGCCATCCCACGGCGAGTTCCGCTGCACGCTAAGCTGCCCACTTGCGTGTTTGTTCATGGCGGCGCGTGGCAACGCGGGGACAAGAGCGCAGGACTGAACAAAGATATCGACGCGGCCTTCGTGCGGGCTGGATACTTGGGCGTGACTGTCAACTACCGGCTATCACCCGACGTGCGTCACCCCGCACACGTCAACGATGTCGCTGCTGCAGTCGCGTGGCTACACGGGAACATTGCCCAGGTCGAACCTTCCGTCACCTCTCGTGGATCTGGTCGAGCGCTCACGCGTGTGTGGCTCTCGTGAACAGTTTGGCGGGGACCCAGACAACATGGTGCTAGTGGGGCACAGCGCAGGTGCGCATCTCGTCATGCTGATTGTAGCCGACCCAGACTATCTGCAGGCAGCTGGACTGAAGCAACCAGTCGATGCGGTTGTCAAAGGAGCGGTCGGCATCTCTGGTGTCTATAACATTGTGCGACTCGCGAACGCTCCATTCTTTGGCTCGCTCGTGGCGGAGCCACCCTTCGGTGACCGTGTCGAGCACTGGCGACAGGCTTCCATCATGACGACAGTCACGCGAGTCGGGTCGACGTCGCCACTCGCGAAAATGCCCCTGCTGCTCGTGAATGCGCAAGACGATTTCCATTTCCAACAAGATGCACAAGAACTCGCGCACTGGCTCATGGCAGAAGGAAAAAATGTGCGTATGCTGCTTTTATCTCTCGTTCGTTGGTCGAGTTCCTTACAACCTGCGACTTGCACAGCCCAACGTCCAGCGCCACGTCGTGGCCAATTGCAACCACTTTAGCATCATCCAGCAGCTCGCACACGACGAGTCGAACAGCAACGCGACCATGCAATTACTCGAGACGTTTCTAGCCCACAATGCTGCCCCCAAAGCCGCCCCTCTCGTCTAACGTCATTCATACAGCCAAGTGTTTCACTCTCTGTCGTCCACCACATTGTAACGCCCACAACGTACCTCCACAGCCCCGCACCGCAGTCCCCCCCGTTTCCTCCGTCCATCTCGCAGTCTCCCTCCCGCCTGCAGCTGCTCAGACCTGCTTGCGCTCTGTAAACGCGCGCATCACGCAGCCCGAGCCGGCCTTGAGCACCAACTTCTGGTGCCACTCGAGCATCGCTGCACTCTGCGACGCGATGCCGAGGAACCGCATGAGGTACTTCATGAGACTGTCCTCCAGCGCGACGCCAAGCGAGTCGATCGCACGCTGCATCTCGCCCTTGTTGCACGCCAGCAGCGCAGTCATGACGACCTTGGCGTTCTCGTCCTTCACCGCGTTGTTCTTCGACTGCAGCGGCGGGTCTTCCAGCGCAGCGCGCACCGCCTCCTCGTGCTTGCGCTGGGCCAGCAGCCCCTGCACTTGCGCCGCGCGGGTCTGCACACTCGCAGCTATCTGAGTCTCGTCCGCCGCCATCTGCTCGCTCGAGTCGGTGCGTGCGTGACAGTGTCGTCGGGTCGGCTGACGATCGAAGGGGATTGGCAATCCGATATCGTGTTTGACAGGGACGCAAGCACGAGTATGTCGCAAATGACAAATAAACACCCCACAATGTTTAAAACAATCGATATAAAGCGCTGGCAGCTTCAACAGTGCTACACACTGCCGCGACTGGATGTACATGCACACAGGAGCTCTCGAGCCCACCAGCTCTGCACCCGACCGACCCAGACCGTTCCTTTCGCTGACCATGGTACTTGTCAGCCCGCGCCTCGTAGCACTGCAGCTACATGACGCTGCAAAAGAGCGGGATCGGCACAAAGCCATACGCGTGGTCGCTGCTGGCGCACACACAACCAAAGTCCCACAGACACACAGACGCAGAGGCCAAAAAAAAAAACACACACGTAACAATAGAGTGAGCACCACATTCGACTCGTCGGGTACATCAGTAGCAGCGACGTACACGACGACCGTCGGGCGACGATGTTCCAAGAGGATCTGATTCTGCGCGCCGCATGCTGTGCAGTAGAACACCGAGCCGTGCGCCACATTGCGTACGACATGGGTCATGCCACAGTTGCCGCACTTGTATGGCATCTCGATCGGCTCGACAGGCTGTGCTACGGCCATCACGTGGCCGCCCTCGTCGTTCTGGAGCTGGCGGGCCAACTCGGCATCGCGGGACGTATCGGGCTACAGCGCACACGCGCGCACACACACACACACGTTAGACTCGTGGCGTGCGTCGTCGACTACTACTTGTGGCATGAGCTCTATCCACTGCACGTGCCTGGACGTGCCTGGGCACCTCCTCGTGAGTCGTTGCGAGGTGGGGGTACAGCCGCTTGTCGCCCGAGGTCGCCATTGTGTGGTTTCGCTCGTCGTTGGTCTCAACTGCTCAGATTTGTCGTCGCCGTTAGTGCGCCCAACTGCTCAGATCGGTCGTCGCCGTTAGTGGCCGCAGCGGATCAGTCCGCCAATCAGCTCGCAGAGTCCAATGATCCTCGACCAGTTGGCACCAGGCGCGGCGCTCGCCCTCGTCGTGGCTGCACTCGGGGCGCTGTATCTATGGCACAAGTCCCGCGCCCACGTCGGGACCACAGATGTGACGAGAGGCTTCAACTTGGTGCGCGTGCTCAAGCGCACGGACACGGAGCTAGCGCTTCTGGGCAATTTCCACCGCGACCGCCATAAGAAGGCGGCCGTGCTGATCATCCAGACAGCGGCTATGGATGCAGGGACGCTCGGCCAATTGATGAACGGAATGTCGCTCCACGAAGTCTTTGTCAACGATGTCTACAGCTCGTTCCATGGCGACGTGTCGCGCGATGTCAAGCCGTACAAGGTGCGCATGCTCTGAACGAACAGTGTGCAGCGTGACAGCTGACGGACGACGTGGTGTCTTGTTGTTGTGCGCGACATCGAATGTCTAGGTAAGCATGATCTACCCGGCAACGGAGCGTCACGTGCGCAAGCACACGGATCAGGTCTTTCATATGGTCGTGGAGACCAAAGAGGCATATCGGATGATTACAAAGCCGTTCATTGAGAGCATTCCTGCGGAGAATATCGAGTGGGTCTATAACATCCTTGAGCAGTGAGTGGGCAAGTGATTGGCTGGATCAGTACTTTTGTTGCACGCCTAATCGTACTGGGTCCTGCCTATCCTGATGAGTCCAGCAAGAGCGAGGCAGACCGGATAATTTACGAGGACAAACACCCTACCAATGGTTTTGTGTTGCTACCAGACTTCAAGTGGTCGGACCAGTCGAAGGTACACGCACATTGCTTTAAGCGTTTTCATTCGACTTGCCGGACAATGTAACGACTGCCCGCATTCTGTTTACAGTTGGAGTCTCTGTACTGCCTGGCGATTGTGCATGACCGGTCGCTGCGATCTCTCCGTGACCTGACGGGCACCCATCTGAAGCTGTTGCGCAACATCCGGTACTGCTTTTATTCATTTCTGTGAGAATAGCAGTAGCTGTCACTCACGCGTGGTTCTGTCCGTAAGCAGAAATGCCAGTCTAGAGATTTTGCGCGAAAAGTACGGCGTCAAGGCGAGCTCCATTCGCACGTATTTGCACTACCAGCCTACCTATTATCACCTGCATGTGCATTTCTCCCATGTCAAGATCGTCCAAGGTCTGCATTCTATGTTTTTCTCTTGAGGTCCTTTCTATGCAGATCATCTGACCGTGCTTTCATTGATTAGGAACATCTTCTGGAAAAGCTGTGCTTCTCGAAGACGTTATCAATAACTTGAGTGGTCACAGCGATCACTACAAGAACGCGACACTATCGTTTGTAGTCGGTGAGACGCAGCACAAGCAGCTGTTTGAGCTCTTTCGTCAGAAGCGCATTGTTTGAAAAGGGCTATTGTTGCGGAACCATCTCGCGAACTAGTTTCTCAGCCAACACGACTGCTGCGGCTGATCGTCTATTAGTGGCCTGCCCAACGAGCAGGCTCAGTGTGAGCTAAGATGGCGCACGCTCGAGAACATCTGTTGTTCCGTTCGTCCCTATCTGCCATTCTAGTTCATGGCGTAATGAAAACTGGTGGAACAGTCAACGTGAATGTAAGAAAAACGAGAAGTATGGCTGCTACTACGGTGTTCGACTACATCCATCTAGTCACATGTGTACGATGAACAAAAACGCCGCAAAAAGTCAGTCCAGCCTTACAGTGCAAGTCCTGCTACGCACGGCGTGATCCTCGCGTTCGATGTTTTAGACGAAGTGAGACCGTTACGTAATATTGTAATTTATATGCATTTCAGTGCGAGCATTTGTGTTGCGAATAAAACGCTGCAAAATCACGAGCAAAGGCAATTATTATATATTATTACCCGATAGGGTATTATTACAAGGATACTGTACTCGAGGGTGATTGCATAAGAATATTATACTTAAGAGGAAATATGCAAAACATCACGAGCACAGTGCTCATAAGCTAGCCTAAAGTCACGTACGTCAGCCGAAAAGGAGTCCAATGGGTGATGGACACGGGCTGTGAGTGACAATCGAAGCGAATGTGCATATCCATAGTTACGTGACATTTTGAAAGATATAACGACAAACATTACGAAAAAGAGTCTGCTAAAATCAGCGCTACTAGATTTATTTACCACCCAGCGTGCTGTTTTGTATCGATTCGCTTCCTCAGCGCCAGTGTACATGATAATTCAAGGCACCCACGTGCACAAAATTCAGTTCATTTTATGGCTAACAATGTTTGTGTACAAAGCATAGCTTCCCATTACACTCGAAGCCCGAGTCCGTCACTTCCATAGCACCACGATGACGACCGTGGGTTGTTGCGCTCAGAAAGCACCGCGTCCACCATTGACAAGCACCTCATGACTGATCACACATAAGTGCACTCACAACTACATTAATGGGTGTGAGATAAAAGTAGTACTCCACGGTATCTCCCTTTTGAAAAATTATGGTGCCCCTTCCATTGTCAGAGCTAACCAAAGCCGACTCCTTGCGCACTTTCGACTGAATATTCGTTGTTCCAACATGGTCCAGATCAAGACCCCTCAATCATGCGAATAGGGCAAAAACTCGCAACAAAGGCGTCGCTCTGCCCAATGGGCTCGAGTGCAAACTACGTATTGTGTCTTAATTTATGTTAATTGACATAGGCCGTTTGTTATGGCCAAATTAGCACTCTGCAACAAGGTGTCGGTGAATTTCAACTCATGTCATTCACAGCCCCGGTCCCTTTCCAGACGCCGAATTTGAATCGACTCCTCCCCAGGGCCGTCCATACGAATTTCGGTCTCTTTTCTTGCAAGATGTGTACGGCGCTAGTCACTTAAATGGCTGGTTCACCATGTGCCGGGTCAGTTGAAGTGTGATGCACCATGGTCTGACATCTGGTTGCAGAGGATTGCATTACTGTAGCGAATCGTTCCGTCGCGCTGCCAGTTGCGCAGCAAAGTATTCCTACTATCACAGGGGCAAGAAGGCTTGTTATTTTAAACTGTTCGAATACGTCTTAGCTGAGGGCCGTGGTCGCTTTCTATGTGGAATAACTTTGCCGTGGGAGATTTTCTTACTCGGATAACTTTGTCCTTACACATGAATTGTTGACACGATGTGGGCCGTGAGCCGGTCATTTGACGTGGCTAATCGAGGACTTCTTGTTTGACCTATTGACTTTACACCTGCTGACGTCGCACGTCGAGGGGCACTCTGTGCAGCTTTGTAGCCCGATCTGGGAAACGCAAAGCCAGGTAGACACTGATGATGAATGGGATCTCATTTTTGGGTTGGTATAGGCACAAATGTGCGCCGTCGCATGCCGTCGCATGGCCGTCGCATGCCGGACTTCTAATGAAAGTCTCTAAGAGTGAGGAACGTTTGAGACTGTATACTACTATCCAGGCCGAGTTCGAGGGCGAATTACATCACAGTTCGATCGGTCTCGTTTCGTCCGCGTGACCCGACAGACAACAAAGGTAATTACGGTGGTTGTTTTGGAATCTGCGAGACTGGCTCGTATAAAGCTTCCTTCTCTCCACTACACGCTAAGCCAGACCAAGAAAAATGTCTGTAAACACGTGACCAAGACCACCCACTAATATTTCTACACTCGGACTACTGCGGGACGTCATGAGGATGTACGAATGCCTTACCACGGGGTGATATATCCTTTCCGCAATGCACATCGCCCTGAGCACGATCTATCTGGATCCAGCAGCAAGGACTCAACGGAAAACCGAAGGGCGACGCGTAATTGGCAATTTGCAGCTGCACAATCTAACCAAGTTTAGAGACGTCGGTAGGGTTGCGGCTTTCTTTCAAGCCCAATATTCCGACCGACTTTGTGATGGAGGAATTAGGTTCCCATACCCCCGATTATACGACATCTACTATCTGGAGATCTGTTTCAAGCTCGCCTGTTATCCTCCTCCCTTTGACATCGTCGTGCGTCTACTCTGGTTCGACACCACTGCAATCGCTAAGCACGCTAATGCTGGATACCGACTGCGGTGCCTCCAATGTGTTAATTTGGGTCACCTTCTTGTACGGTGCATTATCACGAATGCAAAGCTACGCGATCCAAGGCGTAATTGTGAAGAAAGAAGGTAACGTAAATGATCTTGTCGACTTCGCAAAATCGTATTCTAGCCTCAGCACGATTAAGGTGGGGGCGTATAGGCGTCTAACACCTTAAGAGGAAGTGGACGCGGCGGCTCACGCTGCGGTGAATCCGACGACGTATGATACAGCTGCTAGGTCGTCTATCTGTTCCTCTCCGCCGTCAGTGACGTTCGCAAGCAGCTTGCCGTAGGTGGAACAAGGCTTAGTGTTCGAGCCTATCCAAACAGCACTTGTGGTGCTTTGACAGGAAATATAAATAACGATTTCGTGGAGGTCTTTAGCTCACACTCTATGCTTGTCTAAGCCTACTCGTTCTTTCCGAAATTTTTATAGATTCCGTAACGACTTCGTGCCTGGAGTACTTTCAGGATTATGTAGCGGCGGATACTTGAGCTCATATCTGTCGTGACCATCAAGTCGTGAAGCGTCAAGCTAAGCTGTACAGAATTACACCGCCGGTTCAGCAACCTTGGCTCACGCGTGTGTTTTGGTGCATCCGCCCGAAGAGTTCCATCACAGCTGCCTCCATCTCCGTCGCCCATGCGTCGGGCGACGGAGAGGATAGGGAGAAGAAAGAGGCGATATTGTTGTAGCTGCGGGGGAAGGACTACTTTTGAGCGCCAAAGTGGGGGCTTGGATGACGGTTACGCGTGACAGATCTGGTCTAGCTGAACTATGCTGAACTATAAACAAGCTGAGCTATGTACCGTCACCAGCGCGAATGAGAACAGGAAAGCAGCCTTAACGGCGCAAGGTGCAGCTCCGATCTTAATGAGCCCTGATCTCACGGTAGGAGCAACAATCGTTTCTTCATCTGCTTACGCGTGTAAAAGTTTGGGGTATCGCATTCGTGTCGATGAGTGCCTCGGTTCACTAATCCATTTGATCCATATGGCTCAGGTGGAGATCTAATTTGGCCTTTGGTCCGTCGTCGCACCCGCTACCGGCAATTGCTTAGCGACAGAGGTTTCGCAAGCGGCTGATGATGCTCATTACAACGACCTTGTAGAGACTCGAGCTCCTAACGGCTAGACTCAAGGGCGGAATCGTGGTAGAGAATTTCTAGAGGGTGAATGCGGCTCGGCTACGCCCTTGAGTAGATTTGTTGGCAAACGTTCGAAGAGGTGAATGATCTGTGACCCGCATGGAGTCTACCACCTAGTTGCGGTGGTTTCAGCGTTGTACGGTCAGCCTTCTGACAGGATCGTTACAGTTGCAGAAGACAAATGGTGGGTATTGTCGATATAGCGGCCAACTCTTTGCAAACCGACATCCATGTCGATTAGCATATGGTCGGCCAACCGCATTGGTGACGGTGTAAATAGAAGGTTCCGAACATTGTTACTCGCTATCGAAATGCGGTCGAGCCAGCAGCGAAGTATCCGCAATGTAATCTAAATCTGGTAGACACACTGATATCGAAGAGAATGAAACAAAGGATCGCCCGCGGCTTGCCTTGTAGTAGCCAGATCGCCATTATTCCGGCGTTTAGCCACTCAAGACTTCCCCGTCCGCTTCCCGACTACGAAAGGCAGGTAAACAGCATTGGTGCTCGAGACCAGGTGGTACTGTCCGCAAGACAGTCCGCAAGACAGTCCACCCGTAGACACGCCTAACACTAGGACAGGCCGACATCCCAAACTTTTCTAGCTTCTACTTTTTATACATACAGGTGCTCGTTCTTCTGCTGAAGGATGAAGACCACAGGTTCAGCAGGGTCGGAACATATCCGCTCTCTCGTTGTAGTAAAGGAAAATGATTATTCCTGCACTTCCCTTAACGCCTTCGGATGGACTGAGCCTGGCCCCACCTGTAGAATGATACGGGGCGATGCCCCATCCCCTGAGAGGAAAATGTGATGAGAACATATACTCCGTATAGCACAACGAAGCCGACTCGTATCAGAGCCGCTTCACACCGCTTCTCAAATGATAATCACCAATGTTAAGATCTACGGCCGCGTTGATCGAGGTATCTAGACCGTTCCGTGGGAGGTGCTGGAGCAATTGTGGCTTATCACTAAGCAGAATACTTTTCTTACCACTAATCGATCCACGACGGAGTGGTAGAGGGATGAATACGTTGACCCAGACATCTTACTACGGCTAGTCAATTGGTTTTGACATCCCGATGGTCTTTTGACGACATTGAAAGTCGCCTTCATTGTTCAGTGGATAACAGAAACGCCGGGACTGTGCAAAAGACGGGCTATGTAATGTTTCGCGAAATGACTATGGCTCGTCTTGCGAGAGCCT